CCATCCCTTTCAATTTCATAATTACCATAATCATCATCCTATTCCTTGGCCACGTCTTCAATTTCCAGCCCCAACTTCAATCTCTCTCTCTCTCTCTTATATATATATATATATATATATATATATATATATATATATATATACATACATGTATGTACACACCACCATATTTCTGTAAGCATAATTTATAGTTGAAAGAAAGAATGATGATCAGACTTGTCCCTAGACCTTCAATGATTTCTTGTTTCATCACCAGAACTCGCTCCTTCTCACGTCTTACCCAAAACCTGCTCCCCGGAGAAGGTTCATTTCTGATCAACCGACTCTTTGTTTCTGGGTTGCTTCTTCTTTAGGGCTTATGCTTACTTGTTCAACTCCATTCTTTATTCACTTCTTTTTGCTTATGCTACTTAGAATTTTAAGTTTTTCTTTTTCTTTTTTGTGTGGTTTATGTTGGTAGGTAGATTTCAGAATCCATTCGTTACCAATCCTCTCTTTCCTCATTTAACCTACGACTTTATACATTTTGGGATGTCTTTGTCTTTTAATTTGGTTCGTTTGATTTTCAGGTAAATTCAGCAACACTTTTGGGATCCGTTTAACTGTACGATCCATATCAGTTTCAGCAACTTCTTCCCCTCCATCGCCTGTATTGTCAGAGAAACAGGTGGACCAAGTCGATAATGTGTTAGCTGCTAAAGAAGATGAACATGGAGGTGTTATTGTGGAAATGTCTACAGACCCCATGGATCCAATTATGTTTACTTCTTTACTTAAAGCTTCAATATTGCATTGGAAACAACAGGTCAGGTCACTCACAGCTCCACTTTTTGTTATCTGTTTCAAATTAGTTTGCCGAATGAGCTTATGTGGTTCCTTTAGTGAATGTTGTGTGAGCTATATTCATTGCTTGAGTTCATGATTGGTTGTACTCAATTCTCAGCTTTCTTGATACTCAAGTTCTCTATAGTTACCAACTTCCCATGTATTGATGAAATTCATATCAATTCTAGAGTTGGAATATAGTCCATTTGACCCTAAAAACTCACAAATTTCTCCTCAGGGGGAAGGACTGTGATCGTATTGAAATGTTTTCAATCAACCAAATGATCTCTTCTTTTTCCTCTTTTAGTCTTTTCTTTTACCTCTCTGACTGCTGCATCATCAATATCTCCACCATGTGGATTTTGTATTCTTTAAAATATTGAATGTTTCGATGGAGAGGAATTTTTGGTTATGTGCTGAATAACTCACTAAATGTGCATATCTCATCGGTAGGAAACTTCCATATGCCGGTTCCTTGGAATTTTCCACTCTTCTCTTGCACCACCAAAATCTAAACCAGAATGAAGTTCACAAAATACAATATATGAACGTATGTCAACTCTCAGGTCTACCTACAAATGCAGGATGAAGAAAATTATTATCAAATTATGCAATAAAATGAGTAGACCCGAGCCTAGTTATATATTTGCATATGATATTTTCTGTGACAGTAAATTTTATTTATTAGTAAATAGTAATTGAAACTAATACATGCAAACCACATTATCCACATAACTGACAACTTTTCGTAACAACCATAATCTGGGCAAATTCAGACAGTACGACCACTTAACACTACCTGACCTGTCCCGGGAAAATGGACGTTCCAACTAAAACGTCGTCTAACTAGGCAAAACAAATGCACATACCAAACAAAGACAACACTAAAAATGATATCAGAACTCCCACCACCATACCCTAACAAAATGCTGTTGGTGTTATTGACCCTGTCAAAAAGCCATCCTAGATCCTGAACAGTTCCCATCACCAAGCCCAACTTAAGAGCTATTAGTGTTACTGGAACTACTAGATGATTGAATCTGGTCAATGAACTGAAACTGTGCCGATGATGAAAGTCAGAGGGTTAATGAAGACAAACTGAACCTGACAGATCACAGATGAAAATGAGGAGACACCTGATAGACCAATGTAAAATGAACTGGAACTTCATTGAAAGTCGGAGGGTAGATAAAGATGAATGAAATGAGATGAACCGAAGACCGACGAAAATGAGGACATACCCGAGAGAATCACTGGTGGTGTCACTGATGAGTGGTGATTTGGAAGGTGATTTATGGTGTTGGTGACTGGTGGATTGACTAGCAATGGATGTGATCGTGACCGATATAAAGTTGAAGACCGATGAACAGGGAAGGTTAAAATGGCTTTACTGTGAAGGGGAGAGCAAAAAAATTGAAAGTGAGATCGGGATGAGGTTGGCCAACTGATGGAAGGTGTGAGGGTGACCCTCCACACTGCCAGTGTTTTGCTGGAGGTTGTGATTTTAAATTTTGGAGGCTGGAAACTGGAAGCAAATAACAAATCAGAGGAAGGTGAAGGGTAGATATAGACATTTGCACATGGTGTTAGTTGAAATGAGTAGAATCAAGGAAGGTGATATTTTTAGTATCTGCAAGGAGTAAATTATATTGCTTTTCTAGACATCTAGTCCAGGGAAGGGCCCAAGATTCATTATCAAGGTTGATCATTATTCATTAATGTACATTGGGCACACACACACACCATTCAACATTCAAGGGAGAACGAATAGCAAAAAGCTAGATCTTGCTTCAAAATAGGCAATGTTAGTTTCATATATCTGAGGTGAAGATATTATGGATGTTTCTATGCCTTACCAAACATAATTGCATTTCTGACTTTCCTGGCATGTTGGGTGGTGTTCAGAGGCGGATCCAGAAATTTATGTTAGTGATCACACAAAATAGTCACTGTAATATAAAATACTATTAAAATTAATTGTGTTGGAAAAAAGTGTGTTTTCACCTTTTCTGGACACAAATATTGATGAGGACCCATGATGTACTGGTTACCTATTTTATGGGTTTGTGTACTCCCCCAAGAACAGCTACATAATGGCGTAAAGACAAAGGAGGAGATTCAGTGAATGAGAAATCGAATTCAAAGTGGTGGCATAGTGTTGGCTTGTAAGAGAGGCTTGTCCCACATAGGTGGGATCAAGAACTTAAGACTTGTTTATATACCATGGCTCAAGTGAATGAGTTAAGATCTATTGGCAGAAAAGCTTTCTCTACGTGCGCACGCAGGGGGTGGGGGATGCAAAATAAAGTTGTGCACGGATGCAGTGTGAGGTCGATTGAAAAGTTTAGGCCTGTTTTTGGAAGTTAAGATTTTAAGCTTTAGCTTTTGGCCATTTTCTAACAACTTATATAGGGCATTTTGATGCTAGATCACTAAACATTATCTCAAAATTGTAGTCTTCTTAGCTTTCTGGCGAAGATGGTGGCACAGTATGAATCACAGTGGTAGTATCGTCAAGGGCTGTAAATTTTTTTACACTGTGTCAAACAAGTTCAATGGTGGTACGGGCCAGTGTACACCTTTTACAAAATTTGCCCCTGGTGATGTTGGATTCATAATGCATCTTCAGATGATACATTATACAATTTCTAATACTCTGATAAGGTTTCACTGTTCATGTTAGGAACAATTGGTTGATTTATGTTATGAAACTTTGAGTTTTGAATACCTGACTTCTACTTGATGATTTTATCCCAGTTAGAACAGGATGAAAAGATTATTGTTGTTATTAATAGATACGATGACCGCTATTACTGTTGGATGATCATTTGACCAATGGATCACAAGTCTTTCTAATGACTAAGGCATATATAAGACTTGGATTCTAAAAAATAAAATTGGTATTGATTAGGGATCTGCGTGTAAGTATGGCTGATTAATGCATGACTCAGAGAGTTTTGTTTTTGCCATTCTATGAATTTCTTATGGTTGAAGTAACATTTATAAATTTTATATAATTTCTCTCAATACAAGGTAAACATTTGTGTAGGGTAAAAGGGGTGTTTGGATCAAATTGCCAATTGAGCTTGTAAATCTCATCGAACCTGTGGTTAAAGTAAGTTGATGCTTACATTTTATATCATCACACTATGTACATGGGTTTCTTTTTTTTATTTTATAGAAAAAATATTATTATTATTATATTATAAAATGAGCTGCTTGCTTTGGGGTTGAGATATTTGGATGTAATAATTCATTGATGACCAAATATTTCCAGTCCCAACCTGATGGTTAAAACATAGTAGGTCAACTTACTAAACTTCAATTTACCCGAGTCTTTCTTCCATGTTGTTTCAGGAAGGCTTCTATTATCACCATGCCGAACCAAGACACTTGATGCTTGTGCATTGGATTCCTGAAACGACAAATACTTTGCCAGCAAATGCAAGCCATCGAGTGGGTATTGGTGCTTTTGTGATGAATGAAAATGGAGAGGTATGTACCTGCAGTTGATCATTATCCATATGTTACTTATAAACTGAAGCCTGTTTGTTTCCTTTAGTATTCATTTGTGCATGTGGGAAAATGATGAAAAACAAAGTAGAAGGTTCATCTTGAAAGAGAATCAAAGAGGTGGAAAAGACAAAAACTTGTTCCCTGAGGGACATTGAAGGTGGTTCGTAGCTCACACGTAATGAATAGACCCAATGCCCTGGCCCACCCACCACCGCTTGAATATTGCTCACCTCCAAATTAATTGTTAATAATAAGGAAATTTTAAATTTGCATAAGGTGACTATTTACCTTTAGTTTGAGTATGATTGTGATAGAAGATAGGAATGGAAGAGTGCTGGGGAGTCAAAACTAAATCTTCTTATGTAATCTTTTAGAAGGTAAAATGATCAACTTCCTTGAGTTATTGCTTTAGGTTGCAGTGGGAAAATTTATGATTTTTAAAAGGGTACCCAAGGTGATTATGCTTTATGACAGATAACTCATATTATATGGCATGAATATTTGACTTTCATAAGCTTCATTTTCTTGTAAATACTTGTACCTACTGCCTAGTCTATGTAACTTGTGCATGTTGTATAGCCTTGTACTATATAATATGCCATATAGTAATAAGTAACAATCAATCAATGCATCCTGATAATTGTCCACTTAGATGTGAAGTGATGAAATATGAGTTTCTATGCGAGTATTAGACAAAGGAAATTGTGGACTCTTCCACTGGGACAAGGGGAGTAGTATCTAATGCAGTTCTTCATTGTTGTTTTATCAATTGCCTCTTAATCTTTAAGGTTGTCGAATAACATATGCAGTTTCGCATGGTTGTGTGTGTGCTTGAGGATATACCACCCAATGACCTTGAGTCCCAATATAGTCATAATATGAGATCTATGTATCACCCAACAACCATTATGGAAACAGTGCGGATTCACAATGTGTTCAACAATGCCTTGAATCATAGTTGTTAAAAGTGCGCCTAGGCTTTGAGGCTCAAGGTCTTGGGCTTTTTGAAAGTCGAGGCTAGGTGTGTTCACTAGGCTCCCGAAGGCACTGTGACAAGAAAGATTAATTGAAAAATGATATTTCTCTCTTTCCTTTGATTATACAAGGCCCTATATAGGGTATTTACAAGAGATAAAGGGAAACTGAATCAAGGAAATCAGAGAAAAGATACATAAAAGATAATGAATGATAAAGAAGGTAACAATATCCCATAATTATAGAAACTATATTCCATAATTATAATTTATAGGGATTCCTCCTGATCTATTTAATAACTAAGGTGCCTTGTGGGCCTAGGCGTGCCTCATAAAAAATTACTAAATACCTAGTCAAATCCTAATTAATATTAGACAAGTTTTCTCATCTTCTTATCTCCTAAACTTCTTACAAGAAGAGTTATTAAATAGATGACTAAAGCCAAACCAAAATATTAAATACCCCGTCCTTAGAACTTCAAGCCTCCTTTATAAATACCCATACCTTAAAACTTCTCTCTCACGCCTCATGCTTTAAACCCTTCTCCTTTCTACCTCTATCAAAGTACTAATGGTTGCTGCATTGGAGGCTTGTACTTGCTACATATTTGAGTTGTGTATAATTGTGTGTGTATATAAATATATTAATAAGATGTGCCTCCCATTCCTGAGGCCCGCGCCTCACACCTACGCCTTGCCCTAGGTCCCAGGACCCCTTTGCACCTAAGTGCGCCTTGAGCCTTTAAAAAAATTGCCTCAAACAAACCAATACAATGGTCATCAACGTAATGGTCACCAATGAACATGTGTATATCAATGCAAAGGGAATGCTGAAAGCAACTGAGCCACACAAGATATTTTACGTGGTTCCACTATCGGTGTGATAGTGTACGTCAACAAAAGACATGAGTTACTTTGTATTGAACAAATCAATGGAGGCTTATATGTTCACTTACATTCATCAATAGAAACTCCACTTCTTGTTCTTGCAAAAAAGGGAAAAACGTCAAGCAGTGAAATGAATCCTAATTGGCATTAAAACATTGGTTACCGCCTATAGGCGACTTCCCAGGCAAGGTGCAAGTCACTTACGGTCTTGCCTGGTCCTCCCATTTTATGTTTATGAGGCGTCAAACAACTTTTTACGCTACTTCCCAAGTCCCTTACCTTGTCCCTATAAATACATCGTAGGTTTTGCTTCTTCCCGAGTGACATGAACGTCACTTCCCCAAGTTGCTTACAATTTAGCCGATGTCCAAAGGTGATTTCCATGATGCATGTCACATCGCATGCAATGTACGATAACATTCGTTGCCTATGAAGTCGAGATATTTGTATACATATATTCATTATTATATAATATATATAGTGGAGCGATCAAATGAAAACCACCCTCATTTGTACAAACCGTACAAACCACCCTTATACGTCGATTTCATTGTTTAATCTTATGAAATTTTTTCATGAAATTGTTTAATCTTGTGAAATTGTTTCATATAATACTTTTTTTGATGAATTTGTTTCATATATGGTTATGAAATTGTTGCATATAATATTTAATGAAATTTTAATAAAACTGTTTCATGTATTTCTCTAAAATTAAAATAATGAAGATGATAATATCCATGATTAACACCGTCCACAATAAAAATGGTTAATCAACCTCTCATAATTACAAAAAAATTAAACAAAATGAAAAATTATGATTGGTTGAATGAGGTTTGTACGGTTTGTACAAATTGAGTGGTTATTATCTGAACGCTCCTCAATATATATATATATATATATAGAGAGAGAGAGAGAGGGGGGGGGGGAGGTTCAAGGGAAAACCGCAAAAAAATTGAAAAACTGAGGAACATCCTGGTAACCATTTATCTGGACGATATGTACATGTGCATACAAGTAATTAAAGCTATTTTTTGGTATTTATGCACGTGTGCATGTTACAATTTACTTGTATGCACACGTGCATGAGCGTCCAGATGAACGGTTACCAAGGTGCTCCTTAGTTTTTCATTTTTTCCGGTTTCCCTTGAACCTGACCCTATATATATATGCTATGATTTAAATTATGTGAAAGGCCATGTAGAAATATGTTCATATATTCTATTTTGCAAATATCCTTTTGGTTTTAGGTTTTGGTGGTGCAAGAGAAGAGTGGAAAATTCCAAGGAACCGGCATATGGAAGTTTCCTACTGGAGTTGTTGATGAGGTACGTCCATTCATTCATCATATAAACGAAGGTACCTGCCCCTCGAAAACATTTAATGTTTTGAAAGAAATATTTCTATAGGGTGAAGATATTTGTAATGCGGCGGTTAGAGAAGTAAAAGAAGAGACTGGAGTAAGTTGAAGGCACTTGGTTGAGATTGAAGAATTGAATATTGATTAGATTCTGTTTTAAGTAATTGAATGTTTGTGATGCTTCAGATAGACACCAAATTTGTGGAAGTATTAGCATTCAGGTAAAGGCAACACATTTGGAAAGCATTTCTATGACAAAAAATAAAATTTAAAAAATGAGCATTGGTATTTGCAGACAAAGCCACAAGTCTTTCTTTGACAAGTCAGATTTGTTCTTCATGTGCATGTTGCAACCTTTGTCCTTCAACATCCAGAAGCAAGAAAGAGAAATAGAGGCAGCCCAGGTTAGCTTCTGTTCATTAGCAGCTTAATGAGCTTAATGGGATGTGCATGAATTATGAAGATACATATGATGAATGATGGTATGGTTTTATATAATGTGTAGTGGATGTCGTTCGAGGAATATGCAGGTCAGCCATTTGTACAAAAGCATGATCTTCTGAGGTATATAGTGAAGGTATGCATAGCAAAGAGAAATGAAAAGTATAGTGGGTTCTCCCCTGTGCCTACAATCACAAGTTTCTCTAATAAACCAAGCAATCTTTACTTGAACTCCAAGGATTTGGATTACTAGGTTAACTGTATTTCTTTCACAGTAACTTGAGATATTCGATCAATATTCTTTTCCTTTCCATCATCCCTCTTCATGCAAGGAGATACACAAACGGAATTGGGTCCAAAGACTGGCCTGAATACGACCTGCTACATGAGGTCTAGAGAATGTTCAAACTACATTTTTTTCTTCTTCAAATGGTCCTCATTTGGACCGAACAAGGTCCAAATACAAGGGGCCCTGTTAGACCTGGTCAAATTCCTGGTGTTGAACTTGGTTTTCTTTGTATATTGAAGGATCCGAAAAGCCCGGTGTAGGATCGGTCCAAAGACTGACCAATTGCTATTATGCATACGACTGGTCTGTTTCCCGTATTGTGTGCGTCTGTTTTGTTCTCTTTGACTTGAGAAAACTATTTTACCCCCTAAGACTGGTTGTTACAAAAGGCATTATTGGAAATGTGATTTATAGAGATTTGGTATAGGTATGGGGTGAAGGGTAGGTGTGGTTCGTTTCACTTTGATTTCATTAATAAAGTGGAGGATGTTACTTTTTGACACATTGTCTCAAACCCTTTCAAGCTTTCTCTTTGATATTTTTGTGGTCTACTTACTTGTTTGTTTTCCTCTGTACTCATAAATTTTCATATTCTTGCAATTTTTGTATTCTCAAAAACGTATCACAGCAAAGCGCTAGCAACGTTGATACTTGTTCAGCTCCATCAACTACTTGAAGAAGTTACAAAGTTATTGGCATCAACAATTTGGGAAAATTGAATCTTGTTGTAGTCGACTGTTGACGAGAAATAAGAAATACCCAATGCAAAAGAAACGGGAATTCACTTGTAAGATGAAGCAGCGCGAAATGCAAATGCAAATTGCATTGGTGTCGACGTGGTAAATTGGGTTTATAGTGAACGAACATATTTGGTGGTGAAAGACGATGTATGGCTCCGGAATTTGGATACCAAACATATAAGATGTAGGTATAAAAAGGTGATGTCAATAATTGACGTCTGATTGATCCAATAAAAATGCAAGACACATGATAATGATTGAAACGTATTTTGATGATAAAGAACATATTGAAAAATGGTGTTAGTTGAAATCGAAGTTGCGGGAACAAAGCCAATTCTCTGAACATTATATTTAGAGTCGAAGACAGGGAACCACGAATTGCATAAATTATTATGTGTTGATGGTTGTTTTTGTTGTGGATTTAGATTGAAAATTGGTTTTGGGAAATAAAAATAAAGGATGGTTAGAGTAGGCTTGACCATGTTCAAGGACTACACATTACACTACACTTGTTGCTTGCTTGGTTGCTTGGTTGGTTGCCTACCCCTTTTCCTCCTCTCAAATGTTCAAATAACCTTCCATCACAAAAAAGAAAAGAAAAAAAAAGACTATATATTTTTAATTACTAACACTAAAAAAGACCACGAATCAAAACTTATAAACCAATCTTCACGTTATGAGATCACATAAATTATTAAGTTTGTAAAAGAATGGAACAGATGTGATTTCTTTATACTCTTACTTTGTTAATATTGTGGTACATATGATGGATAGAGAGAAGTATGGATGAAGGAAGTTTATAAATTAGTGGTTCAGTCTTTGTTTTGTGGAATGTTTAGCTATCAAGATCATTGGTCAAATATCATATTAGGTATACAACCACAACAAGGTTGACGACCAATGGATGGGTTTACTATCATCATTTTATTACTATATATATATATATATGCAGTTTTTGATTAAAATGAATGAACATTACCCCTTACATAATTAAATATATAAACTCCAAGGCTGAGGCTGGTACCTTTTCATTGTCTTCCCCCATTGCGTTGCTCCTAAGTTTTTTTTATTTCTTGCATATCCATCATCACAATTTTCAACAGCACACCACTCTCATGGCAATCATCTTCTTCTTCGTCTTCCTCACAACGGCTGCTGCAAACCCATTGCTCGACTTATTCACACCTGACGACTTGATAACATCAGCTGGATATGGGGATCAAAAGCTCTCTACAGTCCTCGTCACAGGCTCCCTGTTCTGTGATGCTTGTTTAGATGGAAATTCTCCTCTTCAATCACATCTCCTCCATGGTATGTATCTGTTCAAATGAGAACCCTAAAACCAACCATCCATAATGAATATCTTGAATAATGAACATGCATGGTATTCATCATGAATATTTCCACCATGAATAATTCATTAAATATTCCGTTTCCAAGTTGTCAAAATATTTATGTTTCTCATTTGAACCCAACCCATCTATAAATGTAATCCATGATTCATCACTAACCATATCAAAGACTTCAAAGTTACAATGATTTATATTGAAATATCAGGAGCATCAATGGCAGTTTCATGTGATACTAGCAGGAAGACAAGTAAATCAGATTGGGTAAGAGGCATAACCGATGAATATGGAGATTTCGTCATCGATCTTCCCTCCCATCTCCATGCACTTCCAAACATGGAAAAGAGATGCAGACTCAAAATCCTTCAGCTACCAAACGCCTCTCCCTGTCACCAAGCTTTTACAGGTGAATACAGAGGGATAAAATTCTCATCAGCCAAGAATGGAATTCGCACATACACTGCCCACGAGATTCATTTGACACCTAAAAATCCACAAGCATGCATGAACGAAAAAGGCAGGGGAAAGATGCTGGTTCACACATTCTAGGAAGAGATGTCAACGTTAGCCACATCTCATGCTAGAAGGCGCTTCAGTCACAATAATGAGTTGTGGAACTTGATCTTGTTTCATACGAGTGTGTTTGGAAGAGGAATGTACATAGTATAGCATGGACCTTAATGAAACAATTTGTATGTATTTGGTAAGAAATACAATCTTTACATATTTGATAACCGTGGCTGTCTGTGCCAGTTTTATGCACACCTCGACCGATCTCATGGGTACCCTGAAGTTAACAGTCAAACAAACCCTCTAGTAGCCCCAAGGGGTCTTAAACTAGTAAGTTTTACCACTTGAACTACCCCAAAGGGTTTATATCTTTTTGGAATGTAATTCATAGTGGGTCCATAGGAATTCCAAAGAGAGAGATTATCATTTAGAAGAACCTTGCCAATAATTAAATCATCTGTGGCTGCATACTTGATATTTGTACAAAAAAACATTTCAACAAGGTTTTTAAACCTTATAATCGAGAAGTCAGAAAGACATTTGAATTCAAATGTGATTCCTAGATGACAAACAAGTCATCAAGAACCCTCAGATGCAGTCTCCTGTTTTGGGACTGACTTGATGTAGTTGGTAACATCAGCACAGCATTTCAGTTTATCTGCTTGCTCATCTGGGATCTCAATGGAAAATTCTTGTTCAAAAGCCATGACAAGCTCCACCCTATCCAGGCTGTCAAGGCTCAAATCTTTCTGAAAATCAGCTGATTCAGTTACCTGTTAAAGATGATACACAAGGTTAAAGTAGGTAATTTGGCAGCATATATACTTCCCTTCCAGAAGAGAAAGAGTTTGAGCTCTCAAGCAGACCTATGACATTTCAGTTTCAATATCGACAAGCATTTTCTTTCGATTTTCAGTATTTTCCTGTGTATTAAATCTTATGAAGGTGGGTAACCATCACATTTCCTTGGAAAAATTTCAACCACCATATCAACTGAAAATTGGAAGTTAGCATATTTGACCAACAAGGATGCGTTTGTACGTGGGACAAGACAGAGGAAAGGTCAGTACAAAAACTTATTGTCCTACATTTGGCGTGACACTAGACTGGGACATGATAGGACCTGATGGGGCTGAAATGCATTTTTTTCTGTTCCACCAATGTAGGTGGAAACAAAATCAGGGAGATCGAACAGGATTAGTGGATTACTAAATTACCCATGTCAAATTATAACCCTAAATCCTTTTAGAATTCCGTCACCTAGCTACCTCACTCACCTGTCCTGTCCAGTCCCATCAGCATACGAACGCACCCTTGGCCAAAATTTAACTCTTATCTTTGTAAGGATGGGTACCAAAAGAACAATCTTGAAACACAATTTAATCATAAATAACTATATATAAGATCTTGATTGCAAGCCTCGGTATGGATAGAGCATGAGAGTACCTTGGCAGCATCAATCTTGTCAAATTTCCTCACCAGTCCAATCACTCTAGCCGTCACCTGATCATGACTGGACCCAGCAGACGTGCAAAGTTGTTGGTGGAGGCTGCCAGTTGCATTCACATCCTTCACTAAGATAAGCTGTCTTCTCGAGAACGTAACCCTTAAATTCCTCAATATAGAATCTCTTAAGCTTTGCATATTGATCTGTGATGATAATTGTGGCACGTAATCAAGTCAGGATACAAAGGCGTAGCAAGAACTAAATATACACTTGCATGAGCATCAGTGTAAGTCGAAGAAAACGAGTAGGACAGTAGGAGGATTTCTCATGAACTGCTACACATATAAAATGGAATCATAGGATTAGGAGAAAGAGCTAAAGAAGGTTGCTTTTGGTGGTTTGGCTACATAATAACCTAACAGGACCCAATCTGTTTGGTGGTTTGGCCCTAGTAAGAAATTGTCTAGTACAAAAAATAGTTTAGTGTCATAAAGCCATTTGGTGTAGTTGGAATAAAGGGTTTCTTTTAAGCTATAATACGGGTTAGGAGATGTGAAATGCATAACTTGAAGCCGCATGGCGGAGGTGAAGGGGGTCGCGCCTTTTGCTGTATGCATGAGGGGAAGATACTGAAGTTGTTGCGTTTAGCTTCAATGCCTATGTTCAGTGTCTGACTCTGAGGTGCCGTTTACCAAACGTTTATCCAGGTAAGCGCTTACTAAGTGACTTTACTTTACCAGATAAATATGGCAAGGACTAAAAATCTTACTCGGTAAGACCGATCGAGAGTCTTACCCGGTAAGTGAGGACGAGGACTCTTACCATGGTTAGCGCTTATCGGGATAAATTGTTGCATACGATGCATTTTAATGGATAAAATCTTATCCGATAAGTAAGCAATAATGATAAATTTTACCGAGAAGTGCTTACCGGGTAAGTGTTTAGGTAAACTGCCCTGAGTTTCATTGACACTGATCAGGGAGACATGGATGACTGATGCTGACTAGTGAGCACACTCACCAGACCAGACTGCTTTGTAACCTCTCTTAACCACTGGTAACTTCTAGTAACCTCCAACATTTAAAAGAAGTTTTCAATCTTTTTGTGAACAACACAAGATCTCATCTTATGTCCTTTTCGGTTGTTTTCTAAAAGTTTAGAGCTATAAAATCCTTTGGTGCAAATTTCCGACTGTTACTGGTCTTAACATCTCCCAAACTTGCCTTGGTGCCAAAGCCTTCCATTCCAAACTGTTCATGGACTACAAACATATTGACTGCACAAACTTAAACTCAATATAGCTATCTATCCCAGAACATATTGATTAAAGTATCGAGGTCTTTTTGGGACTCTATTGCAAGAAGTGGTTATAACACACACACACACACATATATATATATATATATATATAGTCATTTCATCAAACGGTTAGACTGCATTACACTAGAGAAAGAGAAAGAGAAAGAGAAAGAGAATATGGGATTGTAGGAATTAAAGCTTGATGGGTGTGTGAGAAAAGAAGGATACTGGATACGTGACCTGGGTTGGGTAGGGTTGGCGGTGGCAGGCGGCAGAACCCTCTCGTAACGCAAGTTACGCAATCGATGGCTGGTTAGACGAAAAGGAGCTCTCACTCCCAGTGCGAAACTGCGAATGAATGAATGGATTGGGAGGAGGGCCTTTTTCAAATTCATGGGCCAGCCAAAGCAATAGTAATAATACCCACCCACCAAACAAAGACATCCGAGTTTCAGTTAAATTAGTGTTTCAATCGTAGTCACTTCCTATAATAATACCATCTTCAAAAGAAATGTTATAAAATAAAATTTAAAATCCACTTCTAAAAATATTAGGAAAATGTGTATGACAACTAATCATTAACATTAATTTTTTTTAAGAGAAGTTGACGACAATTTTAAAACTATATGCTAATTTAAGTTATCTAAATATGCCCGAAAACGATGTTACAAAGTACTCTACAAATGTTTAACTAATGTTAGTAATTTGTTTAATCAGAAGTCACAGTTCTAACTGAAATCTCATATAAGGTGATAAAATCATGATGTTAATTTTGTAACAAATTTAATTGAAATCTCATTTGAAGTTATGAAAAAGAAACGTTTTATAATATTTCAAGTGAAAATTAGAGGAGTGCGTAAGTTGTAACAACAGTTGTGGAAGTTCAAGGCGATGCATGAAAAAACACATCACCAAGCTAAGATGATGAATTTTTTTCTCATAAAAAAATAAAATTAATATCAAGTGGGGTCGATAACCCACATATCAGATATTAAACTGATAAAAACAAATATTACACTTTATCGTAACATTCTATAATATTTAAATTATACTTAAAGAAGTGTGTTAAACCTAGATAGTAGTAACACTAAGATGACAGATAAATAACCACATCACCAAGTAGTATAATGAACATTTTCATATAAAAAATAAAATACCAAACAAGTTGAAACCATATATTAGATATCAAACTAAGAACATATAATATATTTGATCTAAACAAAAAAAAAAACCTAAGATTCGGGATAGATATGTTAAACTAAAAATATATACTACATTTAATCTTAAGCAAAAGGTCGACATCCGAAAAAAAATATGTTTGTTCCATTTTTAATCATTTTTTTTTTGTAGTAATCTCCCTCTTGTCACTTTCACTCCACATCATATGCGGGATGCAAACAATATTGAGAAAAATGTTGACCCTTTTCTTTTTGTATCAACCTCTCACATGTCTCTTTCTTCTTTGATCCAATGTCTAATGCAAACAATAATGTGAGGAAAAAATGATTTATAATGCTTATAAGTTGTCACCTTATTATCCATGGTTATTACTTTTATATAGATACAAATAAATATATAAAAATATAGATTATAGATATACAACTATAGTTTTTACAACTATAACTTCGAACAATTTTATGGTTTTGATTTATCGTCAACTTTATGCTATTTTTTATATTAGTTTTTGATATATAATTTTTTTATAAAAGATGATTGGGAAAAAACAGGACAACCCAAAATTACACAAACTCTCTTAGTATTATAAGATAACTAACTCTTTTTAAAAATTCACTTCCTTCTTTTGTATTATTTGGTTGGTTTTTTACTTCAACCATTGTTATATATTTTGTATTATTTGTTTAGTTTTTCCTTTAATATATTATATTGATATTGACATTGGTTGATGATTGATTTCAAATTCATTTTTTCCCTTCTTTCACATACTTACCTCCGTATTCGAATATATCACATTCTCATGAATTTGCGGCATTATCTTAACATGTAACTTCTTCACATATAAGTTTATTTTACTTATAATCATATAATCAAGTTTAGTTAATATAAAACGGTTATCATAGATTCAATTTTAATTTTAACAAACTAAAATAATCAATAAATTGTTCATTATATTATTTTAAAGTTTTTAATTCAACTTTATAATATAAAATATATATTAAAGTCATGTCATTACCTTTCATTGTTATTATAAAGTCAATTGATATAAAAGAAATAATATAAAAATAGGGTCATCCAAATAAGATAACTTTATGATCAAGTCTCATGAGTTGACACAATGAATCTCATCATTCTTACTTATACATACCTCTTTATTTCAATCTTTTAATCTCTCACCAATATGGGATATCTCAAACTCAACCACGATTCCCCAAACACCTTAGTACTCATTTCTCATGATTTCACATCAATACCTCTTGGTTTGCACGGTGATCAAAACTCAATTTAAGAAAAAATGTAAAATCCTCGACTCGAGCGAAAGTGCGATGTGTCTGAAAACTCGAGATCATGTTTATATTTATATTCTCCCCGTCCAACACCGTAAATTACAATTTGGAGAATACTAACATCAGATGAAAGTACGCCATTAAAAAGTCAACACTTTTATTCTATATATAAGTGATATGATAGATACTTAAACTACATTTGTCATTATAAATACTGCAATAATCACAACTTTTGTTAAGAAAGAAATATATCATTGCATTCGTTTTGCACAAATATTTTACCAATTGGTTGGTTTTAATTTCAACCATGACTACAGATTTCAAAGCTCTATCACGCATTTATACATCCATCATCTTTTTCCAAACTATCATATGTCTATCAATATGAAATGATCAAAGTCAACTTTATTTCAGATTTGATGAACACTCAAACCTCATATTGACAAGTCATCATCCTTGGTTTCACTTTTATATTTTCACTATAATTTTTACCATTTAGTTGGTTTTGATTCCAACTATGATATAGATTTCAAAGACGGTCATCTAAAATAAGACAACTTATGAGACAAACTCCATGATTTAACACAAAGACATCCAATCCACATTTCTTATACACTTCACTTCGTTTGAATCTTTCAACTCTTCATCAATGTGAGACAACTAAAACTCAGTCACAATTCACCATATGAGAATACTCAATTTTCATAGTGTCACCTCAATACCCCAAGTTTTCTTATATATATATATATATATATATATATAAAGATAAAGTTTTTTGTCCATTTGGTTGGTTTTTCATCCCAATCATTGTTATAGATTTCAAAGAGGATCATTGAAAGAAAGACAACTTTATGAGGCAAACCTCATGAATCGACACAAAGACACCAATCCATCTTTTTATACATTTTAATTTGTTCAAATCTTTCAACTCTTTATCAATGTGGGACACCTAAAACTCAACTACAATTCATCACTCAATTCTCATTGTGCCACCTCATCACCCCAAGGTTTTACTTTTATAATTCTCATGGTGCCACCTCATCACCCAAAGATTTTACTTATATAATAATAATAATAATATAATAATAATAATAATAATAATAATAATAATAATAATAATTAATTTTGCACTATAATTTCTATTATTTGGCTTTTTTGGTTTCCAATTATGGTTATAGATTTCAAAGAGGGTCATCCAAAGAAAGACAACCCTATGAAACAAACCCTATTATTTGACACAAAAACATCTAATCCACCGTTCTTTTACACTTTATTTTCTCCAAATCTTTCAACTCTTCACTAGCATAGGATATCTCAAATTCAATTACAATTTACCAATACCTTAATATCCAATTCTCATGATGTCACTTCAAACACTCATGGTTCTTCTTTAAATATATATATATATATCCTATAAGCTGTGTTTTCAAAACCCTTTTTTACCAAGGAAAAGGAGGGAAAGAAAGAAAGAGGAAAGTAATAACAAGACATGGGAGGAGAGGGCGAGTTTTTAAAATTACAAAACAATCCAACTTTTCATAATAAAAAATATATATGTAGCCGAGGGTATATTTGTAAAGACAGATCAAAATTAGCAACAAAGTTAGTTGATGAATTTGCTTTGAGACATTAACATAACACATAATCATCTCTTGCATTGCATTTGCATGCTACAACTCCAAATACAATTACAATTACAAACCTTGGCTTCAGTTCAGTTCAACAAAATTTACAGACTAACACCCCTTTTTCACTTATTCTTCTTTCCCTATATATAACATTCCTACTCGTGTCTAGAAAATGGGGCAACCGGTGACGTTAATTCCCGGAGCCGTGGGGCATTTCGCCAACGGACAGTGGTCCGGTTTTGCCCCCCACCAATTCAAATCAACCCCCTCGTTTTGCAGGGCGAAGAACAGCAACACCCCCATGAACGCCGTCCCTGCATCAAGCGCCGCCGACAGAATGTAATTGTACTTCTGCCACCATTGTTTCCGGTACTTGAACACGAAATAGTTAAAGATCATTCCGGTGATAAGCCAGCTTGCTATGTTTGTTGGGGTTGCTGGTGGCATTCCCGCAAATCCATAGGATATAACAGGTATGTTGATCAAAGGAATCCATTTTTTCTCCGGGAAAATCTTGCTCAATACCCACACGGGTACCGGCAAGAATGCTCCGACTAGAAACAGCCATACGAGGTTTCGGTACAAACCTCCAGGTCCAAAGAGTCGTTGTGGTCCGATGAGTCCCCATATCACAGAAGCATCAAATGTGACCTTGAACTTGGGGCATGTCCATGGAGATTCGGGATGAAGTCCCTCGATATCACATAGGTTTTCGATATTCTCTAACATCCACCATGATACCGCAAGATTGACCGTCCCAGCAACTAGAGTTCCCACCAGCTGCAGGTGATATCGTTTTCAAACATTACTAGTCAGTCTCGTTTAGATCACTAATAGATTACTTTAGAAGAGGACTTAAAACAAACCTGAGCTGTGAACATGCATCGAGGTGGGATCTTCATGTAGTGACCCAACTTAAGATCCGATAAGAAGGAAAGCGCATGAACGGTACTGATTCGTCCATAGATCTTGAAAATCAAATTTGCAATCGGTTTTCCGGGTAAAATATACCCAATTATGAACTGCGCTATAATGTCGTATCCGGGTTGCTGTAATACAACTCAAAGTCAACTTCCATCTTGTTCTATAAATGAATCGGAATCGGAATCGGAACATGATAGATATATAATTAAAAGTACCTGATTGGTGGTAGCTTGAATGACCCCGATCGGGAGCGTAACGAACCAAGCCAAACCAAAAGCAAAGAGAAAACCCCACCATGGCAACTGCACGTCCTCGTTCCAAACAAAGCACATAACGAGTGATAACGCTATGCTCCCTACCAGTAGCACGAGGTACCACCATTGCGGCACTTGCTTGTAACTCTGCATCAGTTTCGCATGGATGTCCATCTTCACGTTCTTCACCGCAGATTTGCTCTGCTTCCATATATCCCTACAACACAAATACGACTAGTTTTATATATGTCATCTAGTTTAGCTTTAACCAAAATGACTGCTAGTTTATCGGTTAATAGCTAACTTAATAAAAAGATGGGTTGTTTGGTAGAAGCATAGTTACCCGCCGTGAAATAATGCGACATGCGTGAGTGTGGCGGTAAACCTGGCGAATCCTGATCCAATGGAAAGCGCAAACAAAGGACTCAAATAGAGTTTGCTATAACTGTTGTAGGCAGCGATGTTTAGATCGAAGTGGGGTGTCAAGATTCGAGTAGTGTCGTACTCGTGACCTGTGCCGGTGAATAGTTTGTTAGAGAAAATTGGGAATTTGCGGGCATCGAAGGTGTCGTACTTCCAGTAACAGAGGGGGACGATGATGTAAATGAAGATGATGAAGCCTACTCCGACGTTGACAATGGAAGTCCAAGGCGTGACTAAGGGGCTCCCATGGTATGCATTAATGCCGGCCCAGTCGAGGGTGAAGGCGCCTAGGCCGAGACCATGATAACCGGAGCCAATTTGTTGGGCGGTGATGCTATGCGGCCAAGCCCAACAAACCCAAGAAAAGAAAGTCAAGATGGGGAAGAGATAGCCGGGAAGCGCGTAATATGCGAAACTCAGAACCAAGAAGATGATAAAAAAGCGCATCCGTGTCATGCCTTGTGCTTTCGTTTCCCTTTCGTGCAATGCCCTGCAATTGCATGCATACCACATTAACAAAAATAAAAATAAATACCCATTTGTCCCTCAGTTATTTTAGACATGTAGCAGCAGTGCAACCAAACCCAACGTGAAATAACTTAATCCGATGTTTAATCAAGTTGTAAAATTTTCAAACCGTAGGTATTGGGATGATATTGAGTTACTATTATTTGAACCCAACCCAATGAACCCGATATTCTTTTATTTATTGGATTTAATATGATTGTTGAATTTCTATTAATATATACATTAGACAATTACAATATCATGCACGCACGCTCTTCATATACACATATTTTCAATCTATTCACATCTCTATATAACTCAACTCATCCGTATATATGTTCAGTAACTGTGAACATATATATATGTGAATTGAGAAAATTAAGTGAATGTGATATACGTAATTAAGAAATATGTATCAAATGGTTGATAATGAAAAAAAAAATATGAATAAGTTGTATGGCAAACATGGAGTTGAGTTGTTCAAAAGCGAAGCCATGAGCCTTAGTAGTGGATTAGGGAACAAAAGGGTTTAGATTCGATTTTCTGCTTTATGCTTATTCTTTAATCCTGACAAGTGACATACGTATATATGTATCTTAGTTATGGAATATAAAATTCCTCCTCCATCCATGAACATGAACATGAACATGAATATGAATATGAACATATATAAAAAGGAACATAACTTTTCGATTATTCTGACAAGTGCTAAAAAGGAATATAAAAAGAAAAGGAGAGGGAGAGGGAGAGGGAGAGGGAATCAGACCTAAAGAGAGAAACCTGAGCAAGGTTTGCTGGCCACCACATCTCAACTGGATCAACCAAATACCTTCTTAGCATTCCTGCCCATCCATACCCCAATATCTATACCAAATCAAATCATCACTCTAACATCATATCATTTCATTTCATTTCATTTCATCTCATTTCATTTTTCATCCTAATTCAATATATCTAAAGGACATAATTAAGCATTGAAATCGGATATTACAACAAAACAATATCTTCGGATTTCTTCCAAATCATAATCATAATAATCATTCATTGTTTACAAAATAAAATAAAATAAAATAAAATACCTGAGAAGTCAACACCAGAATCAACGCACACAAGAAATTCAAGCTCTGTTTGTAATAAGCTTTCATAACTGTAATAGCTCCAATGGAGTATGCATCACCCCCACCCGTCGACACCCCACAATTCGCAAACACCGTGATTATCACGTGCTCTTTCATGTTAAAGGGACCAGGGTTCAAGCTAAACCTCCCACCCATCCACCTATACTCCTTCGTCGGCAACGTCGCCGCCATGAATTTTCCGATGGGCAACACGGCTATTTGCATCAGAATCGCCGATATGGCCAAAGGTTGGGTTCTATATATGAAGAAAGTGTTTAGGAAGATTAAAACGACGCAGCACACCACACCCAGTGTCCATGCTCGGAATGTCATCACCGGTAGACCAGGGTCGTCGGTTTCCGGCACCACCAACGCCACCTCCTCCACCGCACACTCATTTTGCTTCTCGCCGGTGGAGCCCATTGTCACTTATGTCTCTGGTTCAAGGCAGTGGGACTGGGTTTGGTTTTATAGGAGAGAGAAAGCTCAATAAAGGAATTTGAGGGCAATTTTACTATTTCTTTATAAAATATTTAAAATAAGAGTAAAATAATATTAAAAAAGAATTACATTTAATTTTGATATTGATATTGAATATATAAATTATTGAAAATGGAATAAAAATAAAAATAAAAATATATTTAAGTTATGATTTGGATTGGTGTACATCATTCTTGAGTTGAAGAGAAAAATAGAAAGTCCATTTTTGTAACATAATATCTTCAACAAATACAAAATATATAATATAGAGGATAATTGGGGAGAGGAGGGTAAAATAGACTTTTTAGGGATTAAGGTGGGTGGGTATGTGTTGTAACTTTCCAAAGGGGTGTGAAAACCACACGACATACACACTCTCTCTTACCAGATTTTAAAAGGCCTGCTGATGTGTTTCTCTCCACGTAGGCTTTTATTGCCCGCTGGACTCACACTCACACTCACACTCAAATGGATCTAGAATTGCAAAAAAACTGGATATTACATCTATACACATTAAATATATAGATTATGTGTATCATATGATATTTATATTATATTACAAAGCATTTTATCAAAATTATTTTTTATGTATAAAATACTGTTTATTAATACATATTATTTACAATTCAAGATTACAAGTAGATTGTACGTAAATATAATTTATTAAAGCTCCATATATAAATTCGTGTAACTAACTGCATATAAACATAATCAAATACATGATAAACATCTTATTTTAAATATAAAAAATCTAAAATATAATTAGGATAATCATTGAGTTCTAACATAATACTTAATTATTATCTTTATAAAATATTATATTATTAAACAAAAAATAAATTATTTCGTTATTAAACTTAAATTAAATTATAATAAAAAATAAATTAAAAAAATTAGAATTTTTAAATAGTTGATTTGATATTAACATTAACATTGATATTTTTTTTTCAAATTTATATTTTATTGATTTTTTAAAAACACATAAAATCGTATTATAACATCGACAATAATAAATAATAAAATAAACATTAAAATCTTCTAGTAATTTATTAATTATAATCTGGATCCTACATCTCTCTGTGTCTCTGTAATCATATTCATTTCCTTACGTAGACCAAAACCCAAATTTCCAATGAAGCCTTGTTGACTCCAACTTCTTCCTCCACCCCATTTTCCCCAATACTTGGTTTCCTCAACATGTATCACCCACCCTCTCTTTCATCTTAATTTCAAGATTCTTCCACCTTCATCCACTACCAACCTAGTTTTAGGCCAACATTGATTGGCCCATGATTGCATTTCCAACCTCCCCTCTCTTCTCTTCTCTGCTAAACCTTCTTCCCCAACCCACCCATTGTCTGAACCTTAAATGTTGATCAAGTGAAAAAACCAATCATTTTTAATTAAAAAAGCTACCCAATTGCACTCAAGGTATTGTTGGAGTCAAACAGAAGAACATCAAAGATATGTAGGAAGTTTGAAATGATCAAAAAGTAAACTGCAAAAAAGTTTCTGCATATACATAAAAATAGAGGAGTTTGTTGTGATAGACAACTTCTTATTAACACAACTACTACTTTTTACAGTGGGTATTGTCCAATATATATGTATACATGAACCACCACCATTCTAAGAGACACAACCTTTCCTAAACACCCATTCTAACATAACTGCAAGATACCAAGGGATGCAACCCTTCAGTGGCAGATCTAGAAAATTAATGGGGTGGGGGCACGTTTGATGGGACTTGGGAGAGGAAAACATATGGCCATATGGGACTGGGAGAAACCATGTAAGACAAGAGTAAAAATAGAAAATTTAAGCTAGTCAATAAACGTTTTTGGTCTTTGACTGGGGGCCTTTCCCCCCGGTCCTTAAGGGCTAGATCCGCCCCTGCAACCCTTCACAAACGACACACTTGTACGGGTTGACAGATATATAACTGTCAACAATAACTGCCCATTAGACATAAACCCAAAACTTGACTAACATGACTAGCTTATATTTAACACACCCCCTTAAGCTAGTAATGGTAGAACTCCCAACTTGTCTCTCATAGCTTTGAAGCTTCCAACTTGAAGAGCCTTTGTAAAACAGTCTGCTTATTTGTTCCTTTTCCCCATAAAACTCTATCTTTACTTCACCATGGCTCTTCCAAACTCGTTGTTGAATCTCGATCCAGGTTGCCCCCTAGTTCCCAGAAACCCTTGTACAAACCTCCGAGTCCTCTGATCACGCCGCCAATCTTTTTTTTTTTTTTTCGGGCCTGTGCAGTTTTCACTTGTGAATGTTCCAACTCATCCCGTATGGACCTTAGCCATAAAGTTTGACATCCAGCTATTAAAAGGGACATGCATTCTGCTAATCTGCTTCAGCAGAGGATAAGGGCACCATACTTTGTTTCTTGGATTGCCAAGATATAGCCCCAGATCCTAAACTGAAAAAAGATACCCTGCTGTACTTTTTCATCATTCATAGTTCCTCCAAAGTCACTGTCACTATAGCCTTGGTATAAACAATACCATGATCTATAGTACCTTTCACATACTTTAAGAAACCTTTTCGCCGCTTCCCAATGACTTGACTTGGGTGACTCCATAAATCTGCTAATTAGGCTTTTGTAAAGGCTATAATCTATTTCCTTATCTCTATTCTCCTGGGATAACTTTAATCCAAACTCTATAGGAATACTTACTGGATTATATTAAAGCATATTAAATTTATCCAATAAGTCTTGACCATACCTTTGTTGAGAGATTATGATTTTCTCATCTTCTTGTTTGTTCTTTCTTCTCCAGTGCAAGGCCCCCTGAGCTTTCTCCTTCCTTTCTCCATGATTAGGAGAGTACACCAACAAACTTGAACACCATCATGACTGGTATAACTTTGATCATCAACACATCTGTGGAGAGTTTCATCCACCTTTACACAATGATCATCATTAACAAAAAAACATCCAAATTCTTTTGGTCTGGTATGTTCATAGCAGATAATACAACAAACCTTAAAGTCTTTTTTTTTTCTTCTTCTTAACCTTAAAGTCTTCTTCTTTTTCTACTTCTTCTTCTTCTTTTTCCTTTTCTTCTTCTTCTTATCCGGACTTGAACCAAACTTTAAACATTTTGTCTTACCCTTGTTAAATCGGGCCATTTTAGTTTGATGATTATACCAAACATTCTTAACATGATAAACCGATCTTCCCGGCAAATGTGTGGCAATTTTTGCCCATTTGTTCCCATACTTGCCTTGTAAATCAAACAACATTTGTTTCTCCATTTCCGAAAACATTCCTTTCTTGAGATTAGGTTGATAATTGTTCAACCACCGAAGACGACATGATTTTCCCGTGCGTTGAAGATGTCCTTTTGAAAGAGGAAGATCCCAATCTTTGGGTCCGTATTCTTCGACATGCTTGATCAAGAGTTCATCTTCTTCAATTTTCCATGGACCTTTCTTTATCTTAATAGGAATTCGTTGTTCCATAATTGTCTCTTGTTTGTCTTTATTTTTGACATAAATTTCAATACTAAAAACTTTTATTGTAGCCATCGAGACTCCGTATGATCTTGTTTGAATTTCTCCTTTGAAATCAATCTTACTCTGCATTATTTGTTGTATTCGGTACTTGTCTTCAACCATGGATCGAATAGGCTCTATTTGTTTCGATTTATCTTTTGAGTTTTCTGCACAATCCTATTTCTTCCTTGTGTTCTTCTTCCTGTGTTCTTTTCTTCTTCCTGTGTTGTTTTCTACACAATCCTTTAACTTTTCAAACCTTGCTACAGGCCACAAATCAGAGCCCATGGGCTAACCGATCGCTGGGAGAAAGTGAAGGAATCAATCAATTAATAAGAAGAATTGATCGATTGGCAGCAAACACAAGAAACGAGCGAATTGCAAGGTTTGATCGAAGAAACTGGCAAATTAATCGAAAAGAAAGAATTACCAAACAAAGTATACATAGGAGGAAATTTCAAAATTTAAAGAGAAGTATAGAACTCGCAAGTTTACTTCGCGGTTGGAATCTTGGTGGAGAAATCGGCGAGAAGAGAAACATGAAATCTTTATGTTACCGTTGCTTTGGAAGAGGCCATTTTGCATGGGAATGCCCTATGGAACAATCCAGTCTTCATGCCTCACAATCTGTGCATAAAGAAGACCCTTATAATTCGAACATGGGCATCACACTCATCAGTCCCTTACAATCATTCAGTCAAAAGTATGTTGATCGAATGATCATAAATGGAGATTATCTCCTTGAAGGATCAGACAATGGTACATGGGACTCAATTTGGTATGTGAACACAAAGATCTCTAAACACATGACACCAAACCATGACTTGTTCACAAAATTCAAGAGTGGTTTCACTGTTAACAAAGAAGATCATCATGATCAAATCGCAATCCATGGTGTTGGGGAAATCGAAGTAAAATGGGATGGAACGATGTTTTCTATACCTTATGTATCGTATGCACCCATGATTAATATAAACGTGTTAAGTCTAAAGCAACTAATCTTGCAAGGTTTTGAATTCGAGATCAAGGACTTTGGATGTGTAATCACTCACATGTGTGTGAGTCGACGAAATCAAGAAGATGATCAGAATGAGTCTACTTCAAGGATCAATACAGAAACCAACCAAGGTTCAAACGAAATAGAAGATGGATTGGAAATTGAACGAAAGACAATACATTTGATTGTTGAAACTTTTGATGATTTTATCTCATTCATGGTGTTAGTGAATTGTGATAGAATATGTAACAAAAACAAAGATCATTTCGTGAAGAAATTCGAGAAGACAATAGGTTGGTTTCAAAAGATGAAGACTGGAGAGGATCTTGCACTACCATCAAAGATTGCAGGACTAGACGTTCACTTATTCGATTTCTACAAACTGGTGATGAAATCAGGAGGTCGTGAGGAAATTACTAAGAAAAACGAATGAAGTGAAATGACTATGAGTTTTGGGTATCCGGAGTGCTATGGGCAAACATTTAAGGAATTATTTGATCAATATTTATTGATTCCACAAGAGCACTACGAGTTTGGACCTAAAGATTTAATTTTCATGACTATATATATATATATATATATATATTGTTTTGAGCTCCAACAAAAATAAGATTTGTCCCTATAAAAACTTACTCTTGTTTCAATGTCAATTATTTATATAATTTGCTTTCTATATTAGTTGTTAGGGTTATGATTTGTTACTTGATGTATAATATTTAATGGTTAGAGTTAGAGTTTGTTAGTTATTGCCCGATTGTTAAATTTTTGTTAATTGTTATGCTTAGATTTTATTATTACTTCATGTCTAATTGTTAATTTTTATGTTAATTGTTAGGGTTAGAGTTTATTATCAGTTGAAGCCTAACTAGTGTTTTTCTTTTAATTGTTAGTTGTTAGGGTTAAGATCTTTCAGTTGATGCCTAATTATTATGTATTTGTTAATTGTTTTGTTATTTCATTACAAAAATGATTTTTTTTAAATATCTTTCGACTAACTTTACTCATTTGATGCCTATAAAAGTAAATTTGAATGATATTTCTTGGGATCCATCCGAAAGAAGAAAAAAAAAGGTTATGACGTATCACTCTAAACCAAATACTTAAATTACCTTGCCAACTACAAGATGATGACCTTAATTCCAACCCCCATCACCAAAATTCCTTGATCCACCACTTTCAAGGGGCCCAAAAATATCTCTCTCATCTTTGAGAGAGCAAATCTCATATTGCATGTACCCGACTTATATATACAATTCATGTCATACTCAACGTAACCCTTCTCAAAGTATAACACTCTTTATGCGTTAGTCCCAATGCACATCTCAAGTTTGAGGATAAGAGTGTTCACCATTTTAAGACTTACTTTTTGAGGCCGGTCTATCAAGTGATCCTGACTGTGGGTCTTGTCCAACGCTTGTGCAACGACAAACGCATGTGACTCTGGTTGCACCCAGTGCACTTCCAACTTAGACTAGGACCAGATTTCATAATGATCTTGATTTATTACCAATCCCCTAGTAGTAACTGATCAAGGACAATTTTAAATAATATGATCATCATATTTATTTAAGGATACTTATACATGCTAATAAAGAACACATAAATGTTTGATGTAAATACTCATCTAATATGCCATAACAGACATAAACATACCAATAAATTTAAAGTTTAGTAAAATTATAGATCAAATCATTGTATTACAAAACCTTAAGCCTATTGCATTAATATGATCATCATGTTTGCTCCGACTCATAGATTTAGTGAGATGATTTGCTAGATTGTCTTATGATCGAACTTTGCATATCTTCATGTCATCTTGATCAATAATCTCTTGAATCAGGTGATACAGTCTCAAGACATGCTTAGAGCGTGATGTGACCTTGGTTCTTTGGCCTGAGCTATGGCAACCTCATTGTCACAATAGATCTCGAAAGGTCATATATGCTAGGAACCAATCCTAAGTCTGAGATGAATTTCTTTATCCAAACAATTTCTTTGGCAGCGTTAGATGCTGCAATGTACTATGATTGTGTAGTTGAATATGTTATTGTACTTTGCTTGTAGCTATTCCACCTCACAACACCACTATTTAACACAAAAAAATAAATCACGACTGCGATTTAAAGTCATCACGACTGGTTTAGAAACTAGAATCTGTATACCTTGGATACACATATCTCTTTTCTGACCTCCGTACAGTGAAAACATATCCTTAGTTCTTCTCAGATACTTCATGATGTTCTTTACTACTACCTAGTAAGCATCACCTGGGTTTGAGTGATATCTGCTTGTCATGCTTAGGCATATGAGACGTCCAGTCTAGTACCTAGCATGATATACATGATAGAACCTATGGCTAAAGCATAAGGAACACTCGTCATATGATTCATGTCCTCTTTTGTACTAGGACATTAAGTCTTGTTTAGTGTTATGTCATATATCATTGGCAAGTTTCTTCTCTTGGAACCCTCCATCTTGAAGTGTTCCAAGATATTGTCAATGTACGTACTTTGACTTAATCCAATATCTCGACAGATCTTTATACCAAGGATATATGTTGTTTCTCCTCTATCCTTCATCGCAAAACACTTCCCTAATCAGGCTTTTACACCTTTAAGGGTTGGGATGTCATTTCTGATGATTAATATGTCATTGACATATAGGATCAGGATACCATTATGCTTCCACTGACCTTCTTGGATACACAAGGTTTATCTTCAGTCTTTATAAAATCAAATTCCTTGATTTTCTCGTCAAAACAAAGATTCCAACTACAAGATGCTTGCTTTAGTCCATAAATGGACCTTAGCAATTTGCTTATCTTTTCAAGGTACTTTGGATGTTAAACCTTTTGGTTTTACCATGTACTCGTCTTTGCTTAAAATTCCGTTAAGAAATGTAGTTTTAACATCCATTTGTCATATCTTGTAATCATGATACACAACTATGACAAGAAGAATCTTGATGGATTTTATCATGGCTATTGGAGAAATGGTGTCATCATGATCAACTACTTGAGTTTGAGTGAAAGATTTTGCTACCAACCTAGCGTTATAAGTATGCACAATCCTATCCATGTCGGGTTTTTTTAATAGCGATTTGCATCCAACAACTTTACACCTGACAAGTGCATCTGCCAAGTTCCAAACTTGGTTGTCTGACATGGGTTGTATTTCATCCTTCACGACATCATGCCATTTATTAGATTCCACACCTAATACGGCTTCCTAGTTGGTTACATGTTCATCATGAAATGTGTAGTTATTGCTAATGAGATAACCATATCTCTCAGGCTCTTAACAATTCATACCCGACCTTCAGATTGTTTCTATCTTGTCATTTCCCTCAACAACTTGTTGGGGTTCAACATCTTTTTGATTGTCAGTGTCAACCATTATCTCATCTTGTGGTTCTTGAATTTCTTCAAGATCTACTTTGTCCCTCGTTGTTGTTCTTGTTAGAAAATCAGTTTCTAAGTACTTATCGGCATTGCATAAAAAAATATTTATTCTCGCTGGGTTTGTAGAAGTGATATCCAATTGTCTCTTTTGGATATCCCACAAAGATGCATTTTTCAAACCTTGGGTCAAGTTTCTTAGAAGCTTTTCTCTTAACATAAGCGTCACAACCCCATATTCTCATATAAGACAACTTTGAGATTTTCTTATCCATAATTAATATGGGGTCATTTTCGGTCTTTATGGTTAGTGCATTATTCAGTATTCAGATAATTGTTCTAGGGCATATCCCCAAGAACTCTTAGGCAGAGTGATGTGACTCATTAAAAAGAGAACCATGTCCAACAAAGTTCGATTTCTTCTTCCGAACATACCGAGTTGAGGTGTTCTGGGATGAATTAGTTGGGATACAATCCCACAATATCTAAGATGATCAATAAACATTTGGCTTAGATATTTGCAACCTCGATCTGGAATAAGTGCTTTTATCATTTTGCCAAGTTGATTCTCTA